TATATCCACTAGAGTTTTGCAATGACCACAAAACTTAGCATGCTCCTCCATCGGCATCCACCGTACATGACGGCACCAGGCGCACACCGACGAGGCGACGCGGCGGCACTCGGTGACCGCCGCAGACGACTCACATGACCTGCAACAGGCACCAGACTTTCGTGATTCCCCATGACCAGGCGACCAGTAGCGAGCAACACGAGACCCCGACGATCTAGGCTCGCAGTGACGCAACTCGGCGATTCACGCGCAGCGACCGAATCCCTCGGCGAATCTCGACGTTCCTCGACAACAAGGGGCAGCGGTCGACGAATCGGCAAGACAAGTATATGCCGAGGAAGTGGGCGAGAGGACGCATCTCAAAACCGTTCGTTCAGCCCCGTCGGCTGTGTAAACGTCTCAAAGTTGGAAAATTTTTTTAATCGTAAGTCCTTAATCCTAACAATAGATTCTGCTACGTGGATTCAATTCATTAAGTATTGAATGTGTACATAAGTCGATGTTCTTAACCGAACTGAAAACTGTTATCAAAGCCCGGGTAATTTGGCTTGTGTGTATAGGAAGATATAAAATCATAAAAGAATATGGAAATGTAGAAATGAACAAAGTATGAAATTTGTAGTGATTTTTCTTCTTTTCTTGATGTGTTTATTTGGATACAATTGAAATGTCTTCTATACACAAATCTACCAACACCTCACAAAGAGTTCATTTAACAACGACACTATAAACATATTTTTACTATTTACTATTCATAATGATATGTAAATTTTCCTTGGACAGTGTTGAACTGGATTACCACGTACAGACGTCGGCTTCAGGCTCCAGCAGCCTGCAATACGTCGGAGAGGGATCTCGGCGAAAAACCTCCGACACTCAAGTCAACACTTTGCTCGTGAGAAAACAGGAAAATTATGTGATTAAGTACGTAAGAATGCATTATCTTTAAAACAAAAACCTTGTCTCTCATATATAATAGGGTATCTTGATGATCAAGAGAGCCCTAGCAAGAAAATAACTCTTTTTATATCTACTTTCCTAACATACCACGTCTCTAGAATATGAAACTCCTTAGCAAGTTATATTTTCCATCCAACAAGGTTTATCCCCTCTTTTCATACGACTCTAAGGTCCTTAAGATCGCTAGAACGACCTCACCATCAACTTGCCATAAGATACAACTAGGTCATAACTACTACTTGCGTAATACGAGGTCCATGCAAATATCCAAGCTCCTGAGGTTCTCCGACCAGACCATCTTGTACCTTTGAGCCACTTAAGCGAGCTACTTGACATTGCTATTTGCTTGAGAATGAGCTAAGTTCCTTCGAATCAGCCACATCCGAGCTAAACACACAAGTCACTTTATCGAGCTATTCTTGGTGTTATATCAGATAATTAATGTATTTACTATTGGAAAAAAATGTGTAAGTCCAAATAATTTCAAAGCATAATATACTCAGTTATTACTAAATAAATCCTTTGACTTTTTCATTATTTTTTTTCGACCACTTAGTATACGACTTTCTTGAGATTCATGGTCAACGAAGTCGGGTGAGTGAGTTTGGTCGAGTAATTTTGTCAAACTGCTATTGTTTACGAGTTTTGCCCTTTTACCTCTGATTAAAGGCTGAAAAATTTCCATTTCTTATCTTCATTTCTAAGTCGAGACGAATTCCAAGATAAAAAAGAACTCCACAAAAGCTTATCAGATCACCCACCAGACACCGCCACGTCTTAGCCGTTCCAAAATGGTGGCTGCAATTACCGGCGTAGGGGTGCCTTGCCCCTCCAAATTGATTCAAACTTCGGTCGGTCGCCGACACAAGCGTTGTGGTTCAGTCATCCGAATGACTTTGACTGAGGAGAAGAAGAAAACCTTCACTCTCAAGAAATCGGAGGAGGCTTTCAACGCAGCTAAGGTAATGGGTTTTTGTTTTCCAATCGTCCAACTTTATGCAGTAATAATTGAATTCGAAGCTTTGATCTTTAAGAAGCTTTTGATCTGGTACATTCTTTTTCCCCTCTTTTTTTTTCTCGTTTTAAATTGTTTGTGGCTATTAATTTTAAAATTAAGGATGTATCTATTGGAGAACTGTGAGAGTGAATGGGATGATATGGATGTGTGAAGAAGAATTACTTTTCATGTATCGGTTGAGATGGAGGAGAGTAAATATTTTCTGGTTTATATATCGAGGAATTAGTTGGATTTGTTTATGTTCAGTACGCAGTGGGTGAGAATGTTCAGTTAACTGACTGTAACTTGGATCTGTGAAAGAAACATTACTGCAAAAGTCGCTCCTCTGCTGTAGGTGTTTTTCGCGGTGAGCATCAGCCATTGGTTTAGCATTTTGCTGTTTCTCCCTGAAGGGTGTTATTGAAATATGGATACGATTAGTTTCGAGTAGGTTGCCATACCTCTCTAGTAATTTTAGTTAAATGCGGTACAAATTTTTTACATTTGATAAATGGATAATGTTATTATTGTCGACAGGAATTAATGCCTGGAGGTGTAAACTCCCCCGTACGTGCTTTTAAATCAGTTGGTGGTCAGCCTATTGTTATGGATTCTGTCAAGGGCTCTCGCATGTGGGATATCGATGGGAACGAGTACATTGACTATGTTGGATCATGGGGCCCAGCCATTATTGGTCATGCAGATGACGAGGTCTGTATTTACCTTGCTTCTTTCCTATGTTGGCATCAAAACTTTAGTGCTCAAACTCCTTGTTTCACCAATGGAACTCCAGGTGAATTGGTTTTGTCCTCTGGAAAGAATTAGACCACTCAACTTTCATGATCCAAGTACTGTATATCATATCAAAAGCCTACCTTTATCTCATCCCCTCTGGTGGGACTTTGAAGTTTAATATGATTCAAGTTTTATTATTTTGTTCAAATAAAAATGTCTATCAGTTATTAAGTTCATATTAAAAGAGTGAAGAATGCAGCATCATAGAATATATGTTACAAGATTCTACGTCCATGTCCCCATTTTTGTGTTCGTATTTTGGATCCTTCGGCTCTGTCAACCTGAACTTTTTTTTTCTTCTTTTTCAAGAAATCTTGCCAGCTCAGGTTATGTATCCTCTTGTCTATGAAAATGGTTGGGAGAAGTCTCATCCTTAATGAAACCAACCACACCTTGGTGCTGTTCCAAAGAGTTTATGTTTAAAAATGTCATTGTGAAAATCCACAGGTAGTTGCTGCTTTATCCGAGACAATGAAGAAAGGAACGAGCTTCGGCGCCCCTTGCCTCCTCGAGAACGTTCTTGCAGAGGCCGTCATCTCTGCTGTCCCAAGCATCGAGATGGTCCGTTTCGTGAACTCAGGCACAGAGGCGTGCATGGGCGTCCTCCGGCTGGCGCGCGCCTTCACGGGCCGCGAGAAGATCATCAAGTTCGAGGGCTGCTACCACGGCCATGCGGACCCCTTCCTGGTGAAGGCCGGCAGCGGGGTTGCCACCCTTGGCCTCCCTGACTCCCCCGGCGTCCCCAAGGCCGCCACCTACGAGACCCTCACCTCACCCTACAATGATGTGCACGCTGTGGAGGCCCTTTTCCAAGCAAACAAGGAAGAGATTGCAGCCGTCATCCTGGAGCCCGTTGTGGGGAACGCGGGCTTCATTCCTCCACAGCCCAACTTCCTCAATTTCCTTGAGGGGATTACTAAAGAAAACGGGGCCCTTCTGATATTTGACGAGGTGATGACGGGATTTCGCATTTCGTACGGTGGGGCCCAACATTACTTTGGAATCACCCCCGACCTGACCACACTGGGGAAGATCATTGGAGGGGGCCTGCCGGTGGGGGCGTACGGAGGGAGGAGGGAGATCATGGAAATGGTGGCTCCAGCGGGGCCCGTGTACCAGGCGGGGACGCTGAGCGGGAACCCGCTGGCCATGACGGCCGGGATACACACACTGAAGAGGCTGAGGGAGGAGGGGACGTACGAGTATTTGAGTGACATCACGCGAGAGCTTGTGGAGGGGATCCTGAGTGCAGGGAGGAGGGCGGGCCACGCGGTGTGTGGAGGGTATATAAATGGGATGTTTGGCTTCTTCTTTCAGGATGGGCCCGTTTACAACTTTGAGGATGCCAAGAGGAGTGATACCCACAAGTTTGGGAGGTTTCACCGGGCGATGCTGGAGGAGGGGGTCTACTTTGCGCCTTCCCAGTTTGAGGCCGGTTTTACGAGCTTGGCGCACACCAGAGAGGATATTCAACAGACTATAGCGGCGGCTGAGAAGGTTTTCAAGACGCTTTGAGAATTTTTGTTTTTGGTTTGAATTGATTGTGTAACGGGGCCAACTTTTTTTTGTAGCTTGAATTATTTACCAGGATGTTTGTGTTGCCGAGAGAGGCTGAGGTTAAAAGTCGTTTTTCCTCGTCGATTGCTTGTAACTCGTAGGCCAATAATTGTGATGTATTTGAAATTTCGTTTTTCTCATCATTTGCTTATTGGAGTCTAGTGAACCTTAGCTTTTCCTTCCTGAATGTCTAAAACACCTTTACTTTGGCATATTTTTAATGGCAAAATTAGTAATATGATAATAATCATCCTATATTATATTTTTAATTAAAAATGATCTATATTAATAACAAATAAAAAACTTCATTATATAATGATTCCTAAGAGTGAATTTGTAGCGCCCCATTCGAATATTAGATTTTTATGAGTTTATTTTAATTAATGGTATTTTTTTTTAATATTTATATATACCTTGATTTTGTGGTTATATATTATATTATTATATGAATATTATAATTTTATTGCTCAGTTGATTTTATTTTATCAATTGTCGTTTGAATTTTTATTTAATCGCGTAAGTCAAATTGTTGTTCGTTTTAATTTATTTTCGAACCGTTGCGACTGAGCCAACCGCACCAAACTCCTTTCACCATGTGTAGTCTTAGTCAAGATTCTTTTACTAATCATGCATGCATTTTTTTTAATGCTAGATTCCCCCTTAATGTTTCCACCCACCGTGATTAGTTATCTTCATGCAAGATGCCTCTTACATTTTCACATGGGATGTTGTTTGTCCTCCATGTGAGAGTTGACCTCATTTCCCCATTTTCCTCTTCATTTTAAGATGGGTTAA